GGCCCTTACATTAGTATGAAAAAAAAATTACTGAAGTTATAGAAAGAAAGAAAAATCATCGAGAGAAAGATCAAATGGGAATCGTCAGTTCAGGAGGGCCACGACCTGAACTGATATCTATATAATTTTGTAGAGGAGATATCGAAGTGAGTACAAAGCAGTACGCAATTCAATTTCTCTGGATGGCCGAATACAATTGTGTACTTTGAAATAAAAATCTAAACCTATGCACCAGCAAATGCACGTAGAAGAGAGAGAGAGAGAGAGAGAGAGAGAGAGAGAGAGAGAGAGAGAGAAAAGAAACTTTCGAAAGGAAGAAACGTTAGTATTTATAAAAAATACGCGGAAAAGATGCATTTGCTCGGCATACTTCCTGACGCTCGGACAGGGAACACAGCGGATCGCGACCGGTCGGTCTCTGAAGGCTCACTTCACGGAAGTGAAGTCGCTGCTTTATCTTCCTTCAGGTTTTGGATCTCCTTCACGGCAGGTACGTCTTTTACCCACGCTGACAAACAGCACAATTTTAACAAGTCACGTAACTCTCTTTCTCGTGAGATACCGTACCGAGTACCTCCATCTTTGCCTTGGCAGTCCGTCGGAGTAGAAAATCAATCCGCATAATTTTTTCTGGCACGATTTAATAATTAAAAAAAAAATTAGAAAAAAAAAATTAATACTTCGGGAGAGTTTTCTCTCGTACTCCGTCGCACAATACTTTCCTCTTTGGAGTCACTTTTCAAACACTGAATTCACTCGTTAATAAACTGTTTTGAATCCTCTCTTCTTCTTCCATAAAGATAAATATAATCGTGGCAAAAGACCGTCTCCTCGCTCCCGCCACGTCTCCGATTATATCACGCCGCAATCGTTTCATCGCTTTCACTCCGAATTATTTACAAGTTTTTTTGAACTTATACGAAGTCGTGGCAGAACATTTTTCTCCTCTGCGTTTTGAACTTGAAGTACGAACGTATTTACACGACAAGAGTCCGTTAAGAGATCCTTAATATCGTTCTTGGTATCACGATCTACGCGAAAGTATTGCTTTCACTGCGACGTGTCGCGATTACTTTAAGACGGACAGAATATCCAAATATACGAAAGCGTCCACATGGAGAGGGTCGTATGAAAGCTCTCGACAGATGAATCCTATCGCCGACTCGATTCGCGATTAGAAAAACCAAGGCCAAAATAATCGAAGCACAATTTATAAACGGATGACGCTACTACTGATATTCAGGGAGATCCAAAGATGTTAAAATTTAAGATGTTAAATGACTGAATACCAGAATAGCAATTTCAAAAAAAGAAATTAAATATTCACCAGAATAAAATTCATGTACCACAGAACTTTCATCGCCCATCTTAGCATTTATAAAAATAAATGTACAAAATAGTTGCTCTTCGCAGCCCCGCGACAGATCACACGTTCAGCCGAGCTGCGTCTCGGTTTTGCTCCGGCAGCGGCCGAATTCACGCGACGGAAACAGGGACCGAAGTAACGATCCGTCATCGGAGCCGCGCAAATAACAGTCTACGGATTCCACCGGATCAAGCCACAGAGTGAAGACGGCGACATTCACTATATAAACCGTATAAAAAATCTAGTCAACAAAAGTTTTTTCTATTTCTTCCTTGGCGATCTTCCGCAAATACGGAGAGATCTCGACGACAACAACAAAAAAAAAATCTTGGCATCTTTTATCGATGAAGAATCTTCAAATTTTCTTTCACTGGATAATCCATGGCTTTGGCGGTAAACTGCGTGAATGGCTGCGTACATTTACGCGCGGTATGTACAGTGTCTTGAAAACAAAGATAGGGAGGAAAAATATCGTCACTTAAATGTTTCATAAATTAAAGAGGGCGCATCTCCGACGTGATCATCGCAGGAGTCTCTATTTGCTTATATTTGCTTCCTCAATTCCCTGAGAATCTTCGAGCTTGGCAACGTACAGCGACGGATCAATCACCTGCAACGACAAAGTTCAGCGTAAAGGTCGGGTTAGATCTCAAAGTTTCCGACGATGTATTATTAGATAAACTTCTTGGACATTGTCAACCCCCACTGAATGGTACCTGTATCTTGTCGTGGTGGTGGGGCTTGAGTACCTCAGTGACCCGAAGAGCTACTGGTAGGGCCTCCCTAGCCAGATTGGTCGAGGGGGAGAGGTCAGACTAAGACAGGTACCCTGGTCCTCCAGGTTGGGAGTTGGTCGCAAGGCAAACAACCTTGCACCGTAAAAAGGAAGATGTTTAGAAACCTCAACCTCGGACAGACGGACCTAACAGAAGACCGAATGGAAGAGGAGAATTGAGGAGGCCATGGACCGAACACGGACCGGAGAGCCATAGAAGAAGACACTGTCAACCGTCCCAAAAATTACGATTTGCGGACCGGCATCTATCACCATCCTGGATACAACCTATTCCGTTGGGTCCACATCGTCGAGTGAGTCCCAAGAACAACGTAAGGCATACAAATATCGTCATCTCGCCAGATTGACTTGCAATAAATTGTACCATTGATGTCGTCTGCCCCAGAAACTTACTTTTGGAATAGGTTTGATCTCCGTTCCAAGTTCTTGTTCGATGCGGTGCAGGGCGAAGCGGTCCTCGTACGTTATCAAGTTGATCGCGATCCCGAGGTGACCGAATCTTCCCGAGCGACCGATACGATGAAGGTACGTCTCCGCCATCTTGGGAAAGTCGAAGTTGATCACAACATTCACTGCTTGGACATCTATTCCCCGCGTAAACAAATCTAGAACATAAATTACACATAATTTTAGTAAACTGAATGTGAGGTTCTCACAGCTGAACGCTACCTGGTCTTGAAAACGCATACCAACATTTCAAAGGAACAAACCTATACCTCTGGGGCTCAAGATGGTGGCAGCACGTTCCTCTGAAACGCAGGTATCTACGTCCGAGTCGACGCGGCATCGAACCCCAGAAGACAGACATCTAAATGGTTGGTATCAATCCGTAGTTCAAACAAAATTCAGGAATTCGCACGTGGTAAAGAACAGCGCTAATAATTTTAATTCGCTTTCTTTCTCGGTACGTTCACGTTGTGCCCGCTACAAATTGCGTAAACTGTATCCTACCTGAACACACTAGGTTCCTGCACAGTCCGGCGCGGAAGTCGTGGAATACCCTGTTACGATGAGCTTGTACCATTTTGGCGTGGATGTAATAACAGCAATACCCCAGTTCCGTAATTTTCTTTGCAAGGAGTTCCACTCTCTGAGTTGAATTACAGAAGATTATACTCTGGTTGATTTGTAACTGCAACAGATAAACACATGATTTACGATGTCCCGCTGCATGTCGCAAGTAATTACGTCATAAATATGAAACATACTGAACAGAAATAAACAAATTCACACGGATAAATTCACTATCAAAGAGATATTTTAACGTTTATAAAATCACGGTACACTCGACGGAAACTGTAAGATGCAAGGTGACGCTGGTGCGTAACTTCTTCAAACGCCAATAACTCGAGACCTATGTAAGATAGAGAATATAAACCTTATGTAAATTAAAGAGTAAATAAAGGGCTTTTTCTACATAATGTTTACTATATTCTATAATGTATATTTTACACAATTTTTTAAATAATTACCCAAAACATGTAATAACTATACCCTCGTTCCTTAACTTCAACCGCTTGCCAAGTCTAAAGCGTAAGAGTTAGATCGGGACATATTGCGAGTGAAATACGTAAATAAACACGAGCTTTTCAAATTTACAAGCAAATTTCAGATAATTCTTACGGTTTAGGAGTTTTGGCCATTTATTTGGTAACAAAAAATGTTCTAAAGTGTTGAGTACATGACGCAACACATAGATAAGCTGTCGGCGGATATCACGTATAGATAAGATGTAATGGTATACATTAATATGTAGATAAAATTTTATTTCAGTACAAATATACTTCTGCAGTTAAACGTTATAGCTAGGAATACATGATACAGTATTCTGAATTACCTTTGAGAAAAGTGTGTTCAAACAGTGCACTTTCTGCCTCTCTTGCACAAAGGCATAATATTGCGTCACTCCTTTCAACGTCAACTCTTCCATCAGATTGATCTCGTACGGTTCCCGCAAATGTTTCTCCTGTTCAAGATATGAGATGCAACATTAATTTACAGTGAAACATCCAATTAGTATCTCTCCGGTAAGCATCGGACTTCACAATAAGCCACAAAAAAGAAAAAAAAAACACATTTAACGGGCGAAAAGTTTTTTATCTCGATAAAGTTTACTAAGAAAATTTCTCATAACTGGAAATTAATCTGCACGATTCCAAATCTGAAACGCTGTATCTTACGATTTTGAATCATACAAAGAAGAATCTTCCAAACACCAAAGGGAATCAAGAACGGGAAGCCAATGCGTCGATACTGACCATAAACTGCTTTACTGTGAGCGGAAATGTTGCTGAAAATAGCAGGATCTGTCTTTCCTTGGGTAATCGTGAGATGACGTGGTCCAACATACCCTTGAAGTCTTGCGATAGCAGTTTATCAGCCTTCAAATAAAAATAAATATATATAAATTTTTACCATGCACAAGCCAAGTAAATATACGAGGGTCGCTCATTAAGTAATGCCCCACATTTTTTTCCTCAGAACATATTTATTCAAGATGGCTCAAATTTAGTGACAATATAAATCAATGTTTCCTTTACACATACTATGTTTCCACATAGTCCCCATCAACTTGTACGGTTTTACGCCAGCGTGGAACAAGGGCATGCATGCCTTGCCGGTACCAGCTCTTGTCCTGTGCACGTAGCCATGTCCTCACTGCTTGAATCACGCTCTCGTCATCTTCAAATCTTGTTCCGCGGATAGCATCTTTAAGTGGCCCAAAGAGATGAAAGTCGGAGGGTGGATGGGGCAGCACCGTCCAACCCAATTTGGTGATTTCTTCCCGGGTTCTCAGACTTGTGTGAGGGCGTGCATTGTCGTGCAGGAGCAAAATTTCTGCTGGATGCTTGTGAGGCCGAACTCGTCGAAAACGCTTCTTGAGGGTTTTCAGGGTCCTGATGTACGCGTCTGAATTGATGGTCGCACCTCTTGGCATCACATCCACAAGAATGACCCCATCACTGTCCCAAAAGACAGTCATCATGACTTTTCCGGCGGAGGGAGTTGTCTTGAATTTCTTCTTTCTCGGTGATTGAGGATGATGCCACTCCATTGACTGCCTTTTTGTCTCTGGCTCAAAGTGGTGTATCCAGGTTTCGTCACCTGTAATGATCCGGGACAGAAAGACCTCTCCCTCAGCATCAAAACGCTCCAACAATTCAGAAGAAATCGTTTTCCTTTGAATCCTGTGGTCTGCTGTGAGACTTCGTGGAACCCATCTTGCGCACACCTTCGAATATGCGAGAGCCTGGATAATTGCAATCACACTTCCATTGCTGACTGAAAGCTGTTGGGCCAATTGTCGAGTTGTGATGCGCCGATCCTCACGAATAATGGCATCCGCGCGGTTCAACATGTCTGGAGTGGTGGCTGTGGCAGGACGCCCAGAGCGCGGCAGATCACGGAGCTCGGTTTCTTCACTTCCTGAAGCTTTAACTCTCTTAGCCCAGCGACCAACGGTGCTCCTATCGACTGCACAGCTTCCATACACAGCACACAAACGTTTATGAATGTTCACCACCGTTTCTTTTTCAGCAACAAGGAATTCAATTACAGCTCGTTGCTTGTAACGAGAGTCGTTCACAGACGCCATTTTAACAGTTCACTACAGCTCCGCTATCGGTTGGAATCATTTGAAACTCCGTACACGAACGCGGGAAACATCAAATCTCAAGCATGTAAAAGTACACTTTTCTATCTTCAGTATTGGCTGAGAAAAAAAATGTGGGGCATTACTTAATGAGCGACCCTCGTAAAAAATGTCACAATTTTTAATTGTATTCGGGAGAGGCCTCTTTTCTAACCGCGGTCATCTAAACGGCTATTCTGACGCCTTCGAGCTGTCAATTTTAAAGGCAAAACTGCCCGTGAGACAAACTGGGCCGAAATAACTCTTCCTGATGTAAACAGTCACATAAACCCTCAGAAATTACCAACGGGACAAGACCTTCCTCGACAAACATCGAAAACCCTCAACAGGATCCGCACCGGCCACGGCGTACGCGCAGACACCCCTAACAAATGGGGAAAAAATACAAA